TTATTATGTTGTAATGATGTTGTTTGTACTGTTTTTTAATTTTATTAAAGAGGGCCCCTGAATATCAGTTAACCTACTGGGCTAAACTGGAAGGGTTACCCTCTTTAAAGATGGTTGAAATTTAAAAAAAATAAAAAGTAGGAATTTAGGTATTCTGTGAAAATATAAAATGTTTATCTAGGCCTAGTTGATAACCACTGGACATGATTTATTATAGATTCAATCTTCTGTAAAATCAGACTAATCTTCTAGTTGTTAACCTCTGGACAAATATGATTTATTACTCATAACAAATATATGTTGTGTAAGACCAGAAGATGTTGTTTTCTCATTAACCAATGTACTTTGATGCATATATACACAGTATATATCTTCAATGGTTTTGTAGAATTTGTTGACTGGTCCTAAAATGTTTAAGCTGTCAGGCATGTGTACATGATCCACATCCTTCAGCATCACAAAATAGTTTTTTTTTACATAATGTTTCAATTGTATATTACAAATAAGCCATGATTTTCACAAATTTTTACTTTTTCATTGTTCTTGTGTATTTGCCACACTTGTATTTTTAACTTTTACTTCATAGGTCATTCACTAATTACTGTACTGCATTCTTCATTATTATAGAAATGCAGGGGTGGAGCCAGTGGTGGTGGGCAGGCAGGGCTCCCCGTTTGGGGAGTGCTGCAAATCCTGGTGCCACCCCTGTAGAAATGCCTCAAATATTATTTACCTATTTTATTATTAGTTTTCAAGATGATTATCCATTTTCAGGATGATTATCCATTGTTATATTTTTATGGTGATGATAGACAAATACAGTCAGTACAGTAGATACAATTGGATTAAGTTGTAAAAATCATTATTTTTATTGTTTTAATAAAAACCTTTTGTTTTTTTCCTGCTCAATAGCTAAAAGATACAAGAGCATCAGAAATCATGGGCATCTATGAACATAAACTTACAACTCTTGAGGTAACAATTATGTAACATAAATATATCTGTATTTCAGCACCATCGTGCAAAAGTAAATAACTTGTAAGAAAGCCACGTTAAAAAGATAGGACCTAACAAATATGAAAATAATTTAAATAATAAATGTTTTGTACTGCATAATAACACTAAAGCTATCACCTGCTACTCCTGGTCAGTTACCTATCTAAAACAATAAGTATACACATAAATTATACTGTAGACATATCTTATTAATACATGTGGTACTGATTATGTCCATTAAATGTCATCAAGTTATTAAAAACATTTTTTTTCCTATCGTGAATGATTTCTATGTAATCTTTTATCTCGTATACAGACCAAAGAAAGTCATTTGCAGGATTTGCTCGAAGCCAAAGCTCTAGCATTGTCTCAAGCAGATCGGCTGATCGCACAGTATAGATGCAGGAGAGCACAAGCCGATGCAGAGGTAGGAGACATTGCATATATTTCTATCCTATCTAGTTTCTAATTCTATTCCTATCATGTCATTGCCCTCCAACAATGAGTGACTTGATTCATCAATTATAAAGAAAGGTAGTTAACATGTTGTTGACTACTAATTCTTATTTTTCAGTGGCTTAGAGAGTCAAATTACATTTTCTTTCATAAATATAATGAAATTTATGTTTATTTGTCAAACATTAATTGGGTAGTTCACATTGAGGTTTGTCATTATCCTAAATTCTCTCACAGCTGAACTTAACAATTTCTTCTTTGTCTTCTGATATATCCATATATAAACAGCTCTTCATTTTGTTTTTGCACTTTTATAACTGCCTATTGTTTTCCAGTGCCAATGATATGTTTTAAATTTTGATAGGCACTTTTCATTCATGTTAATTAGATAAGAATTTTTTTTTTTGGTGAAAGTTTTGACCGATATCTGCAGTCTTATTAATTGACTGCTTGTTGGAAATGCAGCACGTCGTCATGATATCAGTTTAATTTTAAAATATATTATTTTTATTATTATTATTATTATTATTATTATTATTATTATTATTATTATTATTATTGTTATTATTGTTATTTATTAGTATTAATAATAATATTATTACTACTCATATTTTTTTTATTATTATTTATATTATTGCTATTATTGTTATTTTTACTATTAATATTATTGTTTTATTATTTTTGTTATTACTATATTATTGATTATTAATATTATTATTTTATTATTGTTTAAATTATTATTATTATTAATATTATCTTTATCAGGGGTGTCATTTTGAAATAAAATAACAGGAGTTCTAGTAATAGGCGGAGGAACATGTCTCGGAGCGACATCCGAGCGCCCTGAGGCCCAAGTGGGAGTGGGTTTGGGAGGGAGTGTCCCCCTCCCTACCTAAGAAACAAATAAAAAATAATTACTGTAAGATGCCATTTAACAGTGTTTAAATTGGCATTTAACAATGTCAGCCCACAAATTTCATGTCGGCAATCTGCAATTGCCGACCATATTGCCGAGCCAGAATTGCTACAGGACGGCAATTTTTTGCCGACCTAGGCCTAGATTTCTTTGCTTCAAAAACTGCTTGGAAAGTCAAAAACTTTGACTGAAACAGGCTATAGCAGACGCTAAATTTCATGTACGCCGTAAAACCAAGGAAATTGGTGGTTCATAAAACAGATTTGTTTGTACAAGAACTATTTATAATAGGCATGTAGTACTTACGATTTGTGTACAATCGTCGTGTTTCTCACCTAGTCGTTTCGTAGGCTAGGCCTAGGTAGGAATGACGCTAACCAGCCAAGGACTACAACATCGCCCAATTAAAGCCATGTGGGCCGCGTAGATCGTATGCTTATCTTAATCTATTATTTCTCTTCATTTTACAGTATTATCATATTTAAAATGTTTATTTTCTAAAAACAACAAAATTCAACATATTGTAGGCCTAATCGTACCGTTCGTTTAAACGCAATCACGATCGCATCGTGACTTCACTACTGACAAATACAGTACTGTACATGTGTACACATCT